TCATTGCAAGTAGCTCTTTGTCATGAACTGGATAGTTCTTCTCTGCAGCTTTGAGCTGGCGAGACTCAAACGCGATCACGCGTTCACGCCCTTCGGCGTCTGCTTGTAGTAAAGCACAACCGATTGCAAAATCGGAGGCGTCACAGACGACGCTAAACGGACTATCCGGGTCCGGTAGCGCAAGGATCGGAGCCTGGAGAAGGCTCTCCTTCACAGCCTCAAAGGCTCCGTCGTGCTCGACGTTCCAGCACCATGGTGCGTCCTTCTTAAGGAGATCTGATAATGGCCGAGCCATCTCCGCGTAGTTCGCACTGTACTTGTGCAAGTAATTGGCTAAGCCTAGCCACTTGCGTAAGTCTTTTTGGTTCTTGGGAACCGGCCAGTCCACGATGGCCTTGACTTTGGCAGGATCTGCCCGTAAGCCACGCTTCCCAATGAAGCACCCGAGGAAAGGTATCTCCTCCGCGCCAAAGACGCACTTGTCCAAGTTGGCATACAACTTATTAGTGCGCATGCACTCGAGCACCGCTCGCAAGTGGTCAATGTGGTTATCCACGTCTGACTTTCCGTGCTCGGCACGACTATGGACGAATATATCGTCAAAAGTACGTCTGAGCGTACGGCCCGGTGGGGCCTAAACAGCTGCGTCACAAGACGATTGAACGTTGCTGGTGCGTTCGACAGCCCCTGGGGCATCACCAGCCACTCCCAGAGCATACCGCTCGGAGTACTCACCGCTGTCAGCGGAATGTCGCTCGCTCTCATGAGCAATTGGTAGTAGCCATCGACCAAGTCGAGCGCGCTGTACAGCGTACAGCCTACCATGTTGTTCTGCAGAACATCCTTGCGAGGAATCGGCGTTTGCGCCGGGATAGTGGCCGCATTTAGCTTGTTAAAAGCATGAACAATGCGCCACTTGCCGTTCGGCTTTCTGACACAGAACGTGGGTGTCGAGTGCGGAGACTTACTCTCACGCACCATCCCTGCCTCGTGCTTCGCACGGAAGAATGTTAGCTACCAGTCCAGGCAGATGAAGCCGGCGGAGCGCAACTACCCTGTTCACGACAAGGAGCTCCTTGCGATGCGCTACGCTCTGATCAATTCAGGAAGGTCCAACTTGTGTCCAGTAAACTAGGAGCCCCCTGAGCCCCATGCCAGGACCTGGGCATGGGGGCCGTGCAGTAGTGCTAGTACCTCACGATCCAGGAGGCTATGCACTTCTTCTCTTGCAGCGCTTCCGTCTTGCGAGCATGTGTATGAACTGAAAAGACCGCTGCAGCCGCTGCAGTGTTATGTATATGAAGATCGACGCTGTACTACAGCGTCGAACCAGCATTACAGCTTCGACAAGGTGCTGAATCCTTCTATCACATGCAGAGTGTAAGCGCTCTATGTTGGTCCTTATACCCCCCAACGACGCTGTGGTGTTTCCGAGCGCAGGTCGCCGTCGTAGACGCCTTTCGTGCCCGCAGCAACTTTCTCTTTCTCTGCATCCTTTCTCAAATAAACCGTCTTAGAAGGGTTAAAAAGAAATAATCTCGGCACCTCGTTTTTTCATAGGGCTTCTTCAGAGAAAAAAAATAGGTAAGAAAAAATTATCGATTTTCTATTTGGACAAGGCTCTAAGGAGGCCAACAAATCGAGCTACGACAGGCGCACGAGATGGATTTCGAGGCAAATCTATCGAACTCCTTGAAATCGATTCTTTTTGCGTGTTTGAAAACGCAAATCGAGCGCAGATAAATAATTCCATCTGCCTTTCCCATCTTATGCGCCGACCATGCTGGAGCGACATTCCATCTGCAAAGCACATACATGTACGAGTACTGAAGTATTTAAAATATTATTATACTTCAGAACTTCAAATTTTAATTAGTACATTGTATTTTATCAACGTACAGTAAGCATTTCTTGCCATAAATAGAGCACTTTCACCAGTTTGTTGAGAAACTCCTTGTCAGCTGCACGAAGATCCCTCACATTTAATTTACGAAGTATTATAACGGAGGCCAAGTAGAGAAGAAGGGAAGAAGAGCGACGTCGCAAATGGAGAGCATAAACAGCAGCATGAGCGTGTTCGATGGGACGACGGACTTCCGCGTGTGGAAGTCGCGGCTGGAGAACGAACTCATGCGCTACCATCTTCTCGGCTACGTGATGGTGCGCGGCTACGACGGAAGCCAATCGTTCACTTATAATGGGGAGGAAGTGCCTCCCAGAACGCCTATAATCCACGTTGACGACGAGCAGCACCAGTCTCTGATCAAGGAGGAAACGTCCTGTGGTCGGAGCAGCACTGGCATGCAGCGAGGACGACTCAGTCAATGGGACGTTTTAGGGGAGAGCGCCGAGGCCAAGGGGATCTTGCAACGCTACTTGCACCCAGATGTGGAGGCAGCGATTGTTGGAACAAGAACATTCACGACAGTTGGCAGATGCTTTGTGCACTGTACGACAACCGCAGCAGCCCCCGGAGCTCCATGACGTGTACCAGATGCACCCGCGTGCTCCATCAGCATCCCGACTTTGCGACAAGGAAGGCGAAACCCGTGAGGGAGTGTAATCACCGCCGG